CGGGATGGAGCGTGGCTTATGTCTAGACAGCTGTAATGTGCTCTCCATGGGCTTGTCCACTGGCATCTCTGGGAAGCTCCAGCTAGAGCAGCAGTGGGACAGCCAGCTGCGTGCACACCACCAGGCAGGGTGACCCTGGGATGGAGGCTTCCCCCAGCACTTGGCTTCCCCTGCACGCTTGTAGCTGCCAACTGCAACTTTGAGAGCTTGAGAGCCAACCAAAAAGGGACACGTGCATGGAGCACCACCAACACCTGCGATATGTCCAGTTTCATCACGCACGACACCTCTTGACTTTGCTTTACTTCTTGGGCTGCCCAATCCCAGATTTTCTGATCCTGTAAGCAAGCACACACTTTGCTCGTCTCCGAAAACCTGTGAGAAAACCTCCGAAAAACACTTCTGGGAGTGTTTGTTGAGTCCCGAGCTTAACACCACCGAGATCAGAGGGAGTTCTCAAGGGCACCTTGCTGGACCTGGGCAGCTGAGAACACTGCGAGACAACGGGATGCCAGGAAGGAGAGAGAGCACACCTACATGCCATGCCCCTTGTGTGGGACATCCTCTAAGAAAGCTTATAAGCTACAAGAGATTTCTTTAACTGGGATAGACCCAGCTCTGGCTAACTAATAACCCACCTGCACATACCACATCCTTGCCTCACGGTCAGCCAAGTGCTTGCCATAAATAAAAATTAACTCTCTACTGAGTTAATGGAGGGTGAGCTCAAACACCTCACAAACGTCCCTCGCATCTGTCCACATGTCTGTCACTGTGCTTTGCCCCTCAGGACAACGGTAGACACTTTAAAACAAAAATCACATGGCTGTGAAATACAAATGAGGCAAAAAATGCCTTCACCCAACCAAGAGAGCTCTCTCACCAACTGCACCGGATACAAAGATAGCGAACAAACAGGATAGAATGTCTTCTGCCTTTTGTGAAATGAAAATAAATGAAAGGATCTAAGGTTTCAGGTCACTGATCCCTCTCTTCCCTATCTGTACCATTTATCGGAGGTAGAATATAAAGGTTCCAGGTCCTTTTCTTTTTTTGTCAGCACTTTAATGGTTGTTTTTTCTCCTTCCCCCTTTCATTTTCTGAATGAAAGGACCACTTAGGAACCTGTAAGGTAATAATAAGCTTATAGCAGGAATATTGTTTTTCTGAGCCAATGCAAACTCTTCCGAATAGGTCGAGGAGATTAAAGTAAAACTGCAATCTGTAAATAGATCGGTCTTTTAATTAGTTTATAGTCTGTTAAGAGAGAATATTTTGCTCACATAGATCCTTCTGTTATCTAAAAGATCTCAGAGCACTTTAGGAACATCAATTAAGCCTTTTAAGAAAAAAAAAAACAACCCACAACCTTGGGAGATAGGTAAGTGTATTTAGATTAATTAGCGTAGCTGTGAGCAGCAGGCATTATTATTAGATTTAATTTAGTCCAATAATTGACTTATCTGTTAATGGATTCTAATTCATCTGAGAAAGGACCAAATCTATCTGATTAAAAGGTTTACATTGACTCAATTAATTCTATTAACTGACTTAATTTGCCATTTAATAATTCCACATATGGGGCCAGATCTTGGCCCTGAACAACACATAAACCAAACATCACATACCCAAATTATCACGCCAATAAACTACGCATCACAGAATTGCATTTTTCCTCATACGTGGGACACGCAGGCCCAGATAAAACATGTGAGGGGCCTTCCTCCCACTGGATTTCTCCTGGCCCTGCAGATCGCTCTCTCGCTGCTTGGTCATTTAGTTGTACTTGTGATGGCTGCCTGGAAACGAGCAATTCACTGCCTGAGATTTGTCACTTCCCCTCTTTTCTGGGCATTCTCTTCAACCAAGAGGTGAGAAGTTTTACAGAAGTCAATAAAAGCTTGCAATAAAACTAACCAACTCTCCATTCCTTCAAAGGCAGAATAACCCTCACATGCCAGCCATTTGGAAGCTGTATATGTGCAAAAAAATAAAAGGCCTCTCTTCAATTGGACACACTGTTCTTTAACCAGTTGTGAAAGTATGGGAGGAGGGGGAAAAGAGGTGCTAAAATGTTATTGCCTCCCCAACCTTAAAACTGACCAGTGCTTATCGTTCATGATGCGCATTATGGACTACAGCCATGGTCTCGCTCTCTCAACAAAGTCAGCCCTGCTTTCCACACCAAGTCTGAGCTGCCCTGCCCTCGCCTCATATTACCACCCTTTAATGGGACCGAGTTCTTGGAAGGACGCAGCATCATTCTGAAAAGCCAAGAAAACAGCTTCTTGCCCCCTGCACACTCCACCTCCTAACCTCTGATAAGCCTCCAGCTCCCAGCCCGGACACCCCGCAGCAGTGAGCCTTTGAGCTGGAAGCACACTTGCACCTCACAAGCTTTCCAATTTGGCACCTCTTTGCACGGCCTGTTCTTGTGCCTGAGCGGATACAACTGTCCCCAATGACTGCAGAGCTGGAGCCCAGCAGAGACGTTCTGAGATAGCCCTGCCCGTGTTTGAAATGCGGTTCAGGAAGGAAGGAGTAGGCAGGAGAACGCAGGGCTGGAGCCAGCTCACGTTCCACCTCCACAGGCACCTTTTCCCACATCTGTTGCCTTTTCTCAGATATTGGCTTCTGCTCGTCCTCTCAAAGCCATCCCTGGGCTGACACTCAGCCTCTGTAATCCTTCCAACATCAATTCACATCACCGCCACCGTGATCTCGCCTTTCCGCGGGGAATGGGTTAACACTGGGGAAAAGCTGTGGGAGACGGCATCGTCTGCAGCCAAGAAGAGAAGTGGGAACCGGGCACTCCCAAATGCTAAGCTCTGACTCACTGTGCCAACTTAAAGGCAGGAAAAAGAGGAAAGAAGAGAAAAAGGGCAGTAGGAAAAACAGCCATCTGCTGCCTACGAGGGAAAGGGGTCCTCCTTCAGAGGCAGATCTGACCAGCAGCACTGAGGTTTGGATCAAAAGTTCACAACTGTTCAGATCCCCGGACCTGGTTTAAGCCTCTCTCTGGTCTTGATCAAAGGTTACTCCATAATAATGCCTCTGGGGGAGGGGTTCCCAGCACATAATGAATCCTGTGTCATTGCCTTTGTATCCAGTTTTGGCTGTAACACAGATGGTTCTCACTTCAGTAACTCTGACATCTCTCCCCCCTTCATTATCACAGCTAGGAGCTCTGCATGGTCACATCCTGGACCTTCATGCCCCACCTCACTGTCTACCCGATTATCATGCTCTAAGTGTTCCTGTGCCAGGCAAGATGATGAACAGATTTCCATAACCTTTCAGTATAGCTAGAAATGGGAAGGCTTTGCAGCTTGACACATCAAGGAGTTTTATTAGTAGGAGAGGGGGAGGGAGCAGGCAGGGGTGTTAGCAAATGGCCTCAACGGTCAGAACACGTCGGGTTTTTAGAGGGATTCCAGCAACCAGAAGAGGAGTGGATTTGGTGGCAAGGAGCGACACGCACACCACAGAGCTCCTCAGACTGGAAATGTAAGGCTCTGTGATTGTGCAGCTTCTCCACTGGTCACGAGCACTCTCCTGCGTTAGGATTTGTTGTTCAGACATGATTGTATATGTATGAAGGGGACAAGATGGGCTTTGACACATAAATTAGCACCTGTCAGCTGCTCACGGGCACACTTCCCTGCTGCACCCCACTGTAAATGCTGCCTTCTTTCACGGAGAAGAAAACTGCATCACGTTACCTGACATTCACTGCAGGCAGGAGCGCTTCCTGGGATGCCAGCAGCTAACACACAGTGATTAGTTTACATATCAAACCTTAAGAGGATGAACGCAACAAAATGACACAATAATTAGCAGCCACGTGGCACACTGCATTGCCATTTCATCTGGAAATTTTGGAATGACAAAGGACAATGCTGATGAACCTGCAGGGCAGGGCTTTTCCTGAGGGACAGGGTGAGTCTGCAGACAGCCTTAGGGGTTCATCTCACAACAGCCAGGTACCTCTGAGCTGATACTCCAGTGGCACAACTCTGCACATTTCTGCAAGGGCAGCAGCTGCCCCTCTCATTACAGAATCACAGAATTGTAGGTCCAACCCCCTGCCAAAGCAGGCAAAATGATGACCATGGACGGTACGTCATCTTGTCCAAAGGCCACTGATGGAATAACAGTTCTCACATTTTGACGTGCCCTCCATCTGGTACCCCACTTCCACCTCCACCATTGCTGCACGTGAAGTGAACCTCATGTGAATGTGCATGCTGGCTGACACATCTGCACACGTACACAGCAACACCTGTGGGCTGTGTGTCGTAAGGGAAAAAGGACCATTTTTCAAAACAGCCCTAAAACCCTTCCAGCAACCGTGAATCAGGCCTAAAAAAAGTCGAGCAAAAGTACCCCTGCCAAAGCCATCTCCCAGTGTACAAATGAATGCACTGCCAGCCTGTGGAAGTTATTTGTGCTCCTGTAGGATCTACGTGCCTCAGGATTCAACTTAAGCACTCTTAAAGCTCTGAAGTCTGCTTAATTTCAGCTCAAACCAAACACTCTCCCTTAGAAAGATGAAAGGATGCTTCACTCAAGCACTGGGATTCTTCCACCCTCAAGCCTGGTTCTCAATCACAGTTTCCAAGTCACTAAGCCAAGGGCCACAGTTCATAAGGAGAGAACATCCTAACTTTGATATCGCATAAATAACACGAGGAAAGCTGTACGCTCACCTGCTAGGCAGAGAAAGATTTTTGTCTTCAAGCACCATCACGCACTCAGAAACAGGGGCACTGCAGTACCATGGGTTGGAACTGCCCACAGCTGGGAGCTGGGCTGACAGCCCACTCTAACGCAGCAAATTCCACGTTCTTAATCTGAAAAGGTTTTGTTTTGTTTTCTTCTCACTGTGATCCTCTGCATTTTATTGCTCTTCTCATTTTTCTCCCACAAGGTTCTCAGGCCAACACAGTGAATTAAAGCTTTTGAACTGAAGTCTGGGGGATCCCAGTAAATATTCTTACCATATTTATCTCCGTCTTCTCCTTTGGCGCTGATCCTCCTGCCCAGCACTTGGATGTGCTTCCCACTTGTCCTGCTGTACAGCTGATAGAGCCGGAGCTGCTTCCTGCTCACGTCGTCTCTTGCTCGTGTTTGGTTCTCCACATGTATCCGAAAATCTACATTCTCCTCGGCAACAAACATCTGAAAGCGGTGGGGAGGGAAAAAGAAAAGAGAACAGACTATGAAACAAAATAAGCATCTCAGATAGAAAGATCACACATCAACCTGCCAAAGGGCACACGGCGCAAGATGACTGGGATTTGGCTGGCCTTCACTTGACAGCCGAGCCCATGGTATCAGCCACTCAAAATGTAATTCTACCCAGAATTGGCTCTAGAGAGTAAACCAAACCTGAGTTTTTACAATCAAACTGTGTGGGGGGGGGTGGTTGAGTAAAAACTTCTGCTCAGTCCTGCTTTGATTTAATCCTGGTCAACCACGCTGGCCATAAATTAGGCTCGTTTTTGCATATCCAAAGCCTCTACCAAGCTACATGGACATGTACCACAGAAAGGGGACTGGCAATTCAATTTCAGAGAATTTGTGCTTCACCTTCAGCAACTGCATGGATTAATGGCAGCGAAGAAGTCAAGGGAAAAACCTATTTATGCTGACATTAGCAAACTGGCTTCTAGCTACAGACAGGCATAAAATCTAGTAAGATAAAAGTGTCATGAATTTGTGGGCTCTCTTCAGCACAAATTTGTTGCCTGCTTGGCTTTAAGTGAAGCCTGGTCATTGCTGACTGTCTATTGCTGCATCTCTGTCCAGGCCAACCCGGGGAGGGATCATTTGGAGCAAGCAGTAAGAGCACAACTGATGTGTCCAGCTGACAGGCCATTACCAGCAGGGTTCTGGGCGCTTCAGCCTCTGCCTCTGTTTTTTCTGGCCAATGGATTAAATTAACCTTAGTTAACTACAGCCTCAAAACATTACCAGAAATTTTCTCAGTCACATCTGCCTTTCTCTGGTATATTGTTTCCAATCTTAACTTACGGTTCCCAAGAAACACTGAAACAGGATTCCTGCTTTTGCTTCCAGACCCATCCTGGCTTGCCCAAGGTCAGAGGAGGAGGCGACCAAGATGCTCTTAAGAAGGCCCTCCCAGCTGGGAGGCTCAACAGCACACAGCCAAAAGCAATTCACGCTCAAACAGCACGAAAGACCAGAGAATGCTCCACCATCTGCCCCTGAGAGCTTCTGCACCGCATCCATCCTGCCCATACAGATCTAACCAATGGATTATACGCTGGTGGCAGACTCCCATCACAGTTCAATAAATCACTCGGATACCAAAAGCAGCAAGAGATGACTGAGCAGCACCCAAAAGGCACTGCTGCACAGCAGGTGATTTTTAATTTGACCGCAACAAATTAATGGTCAAAGCCAACTTGTTGATGAGCCCTAATGCTGTGTACCATTGGCATGTAAGAAATGAACTCCACCACGAAATAAGCATCACATGGGAACTCCATGAAGCCTAGTTTGGAACTGGCAAAGGAATGGCACTTACTCCTAGCAGAGTTACAGCTTCAACTCCTAACACATTCCGGCTACAGCATGCTTGTCCTTCCTGCCTGAAAGCAACAATGTTCTGATATATTAGGGTATGGATGAAGCTGGCAATGCAAATGAAAAGGGGTCAATAAATCCTTGCACAGGTCCATTCTGGGCTCAAACACATAAGAGCAAGCGGGAAGCAAGTGGCCAAAGCAGAGACAGAACAGTTTCACTTAATTCTCCTGCATCTGTCATCTCACACCAGTGCATACTTTGAAGCCAAGTAGTCAAATACTCCCTGAACATCGAAACCTCAAAAGAACTTTTTAGCTTTTCCAATTATCAAGTAGACACACAGATCAGCAGCAGGAGGAAAACTTCAGGCAGGCAGTGCTGCTTAGCACCAGACCTTCACTAAGCAACCCAAACAAAAACATTATATTCAACACGGTGGCAGCAGCAATGAGGTTCACGGGGATGTTACAGGATCGCCTTCGCTGCCCTTATTAAATGCTAGGATTACAACATTTGGACCCCAAGTCCTAGGAAAGAAACCGGTTTAACTCTCTTATTTGACTGTCAGTAGGAGACTGCAGGAGCTGAACGCTCAGGCTGCACTACTAGAAAATACTGTACCTAAACAGACATTCACAGGATGACATAAACAATAGGCAAGAATCATACAACTAATATTTAGCAATGTTTCCCACTGTCAGAAAACAGCACAGCAAGAAGCAAGAGCACCACCAGCACCTGCTGAGGATATGGCACGAGGTTAGCAGTGCTCTCAGCTCCCATGGGCACCAAGCTCTGCTCGCTTTCCTCTCCAGACACCAGAGCTACCTCTGAGCAAAGCGAGCTGCATTTGGCTTCTAGCATGAATAACAACCAATTCTTTCCTTCTTCCTCCACCTTTCTTTTCAAATAATATTGTTACAAAGGATGTTGACCAACTAAAAATAGAGATGTTCAAATAACGTCGACAGCCAGCCTTATCCCCACAAAAGCAAGGTTATTTGCAGTTAGGATTCTGGCTCCATCATGCTAAGATTTAAAACAGATTTTAAATCAAGATGACGTCGCTACATTGCTTTCACCACATGCTAATGAATTTCATGGTTTTTTTTTTTTTTTTTCCTAGGAAAAAAAACAAAACAGGTGGGATTTAAAGGGAAGGGAAGGGAAGGTTGTTTTGCTTTCCTGGAAACTTCAAAATAGAAAAAGCAACTTATTTTCCAAAACATTCCAATTGTTTCTTTGCACTGAAACACCCCTGAGGTGAACCCAGATTTTTCCTTTCCTGTGTCTGATCTCCCCTCCTGCACCTCCCAGCCTTCGGCCCTATGCCTTCTCCCACACATTCAGGAGGATGGAGCCCTGCTGCCTGGCTCAGATGCACAAAGCTCAGACCAACCATAAGGGCCCTGAGCATCTCAGCATCTGACACAACAAATAATTTTAGGGATGGATAGGTTTTAATTTGCTACAGCAAACTTTTTAAGAGGTTCCTCACTAGACAAGATGAGCTGTGCTCAACTGGAGCTCAAGCACTTGCAGCACAGAGGCCCCAGCCTGCAAGCAAAGTGCACACATGGACTCTGGACCAGCTGTAGAGCCATCTCACACTGCATGCAACTCCAAGCAGGCCGTGTATCTACCTGCAAGCATTTGCCAGCCTTCCTGCAAGGCAGAGCAGCCAATATCACCTCTCCTCCCATTGCAAGAAGGGCAAGCACCTCCAAAGCAAGATGAAGTCTCCCAAGCAGCACACCATCCGACTGAGGGCTGTCTGGGTGGCTCAACTCCACTCTCACCCACAGCCAGCAATGTGCCCAAGAACAGCACGGCCCAAAGCAGGGCCAGCCAGGATCACCTGGAGACACCAAACCCCTCCAGGGTCAGCCCAAGCCTACGTCACCCCATCACCTCTCTAATAACAGACCTAGCTCTAAAACAGGAGAAGTCCTGAAACAGGAAGGTGGAGCTGCAAGCTCTCTTCTTGTGGCTCTCCTGTCCCCTGTCGAGATGCCCCAACACAGAGAAGCAGTGAAATCACCAGGATTTAGCTGTATGCTTAAAGATAAGCACATGCTTAATCACTTTGCTGAAACAGGATGCTCTCCTGGAGCATAGCCAAAGTGAATTAGCTGTGCCAGCCTGGGCTGCATCTGGCCCACAGCAAAGAGTATCAATATTCTAAAATAAAATTTCATGCAGTGTTGATTTCATGAGATAAAACCTATTTGATCACTGCTGAAATCCATTCTCACAGTATCCCTGCCCTACACAGCATACTCCCTCAAGCAGCTAACTTTACTGAGATAAGAAAGCCCATTTATATATACCATAAGTGGGGCTCTCTTTCATAAAGCTCAAAAAAATTAGTAACATATGCCTCCTTCAGTAACTGATCGCCAACACTCACTCAAGGTCACCTAAAACCAAGTCCATTCACCCCAAAATACGTTTCCATAACAATCACAACCACACCAAAACAAATACAGAAATGTCTTCAGGTCCGAGCTGCGCTGTAAAACTTAAGGGCAGTTCACCGAAGCAAAATTAAATCTTTTTCTTTTTTTAAACCATTTACTTCCTATTACTGCACGTAAGCTATACACAAAACAACCACCTTTTCTTTTGCCTTTTAATCTGATCATCCACACAGTCTGCCTTGTAGCCACAGGTCCTGCAAGGAGCACGTGAGCTCCCTGGAAACTGCTGTTGCCTTTCTGATTGCTTCAACGAAGCACAGAGGAGGCTCTGGGCCAAGCACCTGCACATGGAGGGTGCACTCAGCAGCCTTATGGAAAAGCCAGCTTGCAATCCAGACCCAAACAGCTGCAATACCTTTCCTGCCTGCAGCAGCAGCACCTACAGATCCAAAGCTCAGCACAAAAGGTCCCTGAAATCAATGGCCAATTGCATCTTCTAGCTCCAAACCAGGAAAGTGCCTTACAGAACACTCCTGGGACAGAACAAGGATTTCCAACATTACTTTATCTCCTCCAACATTTTGTTGCTGTTTGGTGCTGGAATATGGTCTACTCTGCAAACCTATTCAACTGGCATGGACCACTGTCTATGAAGGGCAACTTCAGCATCTCAAAACAGCAGATCCACTGAACATTATCTAGTTCTCTGCCAATTGCTTATAGTCTGCAGAACCTAACAGAGGGCATCGCATCCGGCTTCATTTTCATTCTTCCTTTATCCGAGCAGTTCCTTGTCCGTGTATTATTTACCACTGCACCTCTCAGCAGTATACACAGCTACAGCAGTGCAGCTGAAATACAGCCGGCAATACAGAAGTTTAGGTAAGGGAATAAATAGCAGTTCTTTTGAAAACAACCATCATCTCGAGCAGCCGATGCACCTGGCTGGACACAAGAAGCTGTCTCTTCTCTCTGCTTCCCCTTTTACTTGCTCAAACATCCAAGGTAGGGCCATTTAGTCCTAATTCCTGCTCAGCCACAGAAAGGAGTGACATCCAATCTGTCTTCAGACAGTCTGGAATAGGAAATTCTGCAGTGTTTTTTGTGCAGTGACACACAATGAGCATGTCAAATAATGAGTGGACTACATTTTAAATGACTTCACAAGGACCCACCAGCTCTGAGAATGGCTACAGTGTTAAAACCCAGACCAGCAAAAAGATGATTTTGCTGACGCTGCCTCAGGTTTCAGCATGAAGTAATCCAAGAAATGGTCAAGAATCAGAAAAGCCCCTGACAGCAGCACCGTGCTGTTAGTCCTACTGCAAGCTCATGGCACAGCCCTGCAAACGCCGCCGCCTTGTTTTGAACTGCAAGCAATCAAAGCCCCGCCGAGGTCAATGCAATCCTTACCGTGCCAAGCCATGTTTACAGGATTTGGCTTGCCATCCAACCAAGCTCTGCACATGCCTCACTTTCTATTTTTAGCTTTCCGGTAAAAGGGGATGTTAATATGTTATTGTTCATGTCATAAAGCGTTACAGCCTCAGATGTCCAAGGCCCACGGCGTGGCCAAATTAGCTGGGAGCTGGACTTGAGAATTTCCTGATTTGTTGCTTTCTGTAGAACTCAGCCTCCAAGCCTCATCAGAGAGCAAACCATATGTCATGGAATGAGAAATACAAAATCCCTCTCACCAAGGGCCTTACTGATTTCAAAAGATAAACAAATCAAGCCACTCAAAGTCCTTTCAAAACCCAATCTGATAAGCAGGGAACACTTATTACCTTTCAGCCATCAAATCAACCTAATATTAATGATTGTCTCCGTGACCTTCTAAAGACTTGAAAGTTAACTTAATAAGGTCAACAAGAGGATATCCAAGACAGATCTCTCTCAAGTCTGCAAAGGCAAGTAACAAACCGCTTCGCTTCCATGACTTTGGCAAAATTCCTCTGTGCCAATTACAACAAGATTTGCTAGCTCACCATGACAGTCATTCTTCGACATACAGAGAAACATAATGCGCTCCTTATTTGCTGCTTTTTCTTCTTCTTAACTGCAACGTCAACCCACAGCCAGGATAGTGTTACAGTCACGTTGTACAGCACGGTTTGAAGCGAGGCACAAGTGGATGCGCACTGCTCTGACGTACTCGCCTCTTTGTGCCTAGAAGCACATTTGGAAATTAATCTAACACAAAGCACTCCGTGTTCAGATGCACAGCAGGAACCTCCAGCAAAGGGAGAGGGCAATTCAGAGTGAATCCCCGCACATCCACGGAGAGGCCGTGGCACAACACTGTTAGAATCGCACAAACGTTACGTAAACCTTTCATAATAGCACCATTTCGGAGCTGTGCTGCTTTGCTGCTTTGCAAGGTGGCTTCTCCCTGCTATTCACTGAAAAGGGTTTTTTCCTTTAGAAATAAATCTCCCCAAATCTCCCTGTCGCTGTCTGTCTCAGCAGATGCCCCTTTGGATGACGGCTCTGCACCATGCAGGCCAGGCAGCACGAAGGGCAACGTGCCATGGAACTGCTCCTTCCAACCACAGACACGAGATGCACAAACTCCAGAAAGACTCCACCGATGGTGCTTACAAAGCATTCCCTTGAGATCATTTGAGCTTTTGGTTTTTTGGGGTCTTTCTTTGATTGGTTGGCTTGGGTTTTTGGTTTTTTTTTTTAGGGTGAAAGCATGAATGTCCCATTTAAAACCCAGAAGCCCACTGTCCACAAAAGCCCCGTTGCTCCATCACCCAGTTGCAAATCAAGTCAGAAACCACTTTTTGCCTCTGTTTCTTTAGAAAGCTGTTTCAGAAAGACACTTTCCTAGCACTCTACGACTTCATTCTCCAGCATCTTGTGTACTTACGTCCAGCTTACGTCTATTTATCCTTGTACCAACAGCGTCCTTCAGCTTCAACAACACCTTTCCCCCTCGCGCTTCTCCTTGGGATGCATTCAGGCTGCTCCCTCTCTCCGCTCTCCTCCCAGCCTTCATCTCGCCATGCTGGGGAAGGAAGAAAGCCAAGTACGCCCATGTTCCTCACCCACCGCCCGGCCCGGCCCCGCCCGCCGCGCCCTCTCGCCCCGCCGGGCCCGCAGCGCCGCGCCGCTCCCGCAGCCGCCGCGCCCCCTGGTGGCCGCCCGGCCCGGGCATCGGGGTCCGGAGAGCGAGCGTCCCGAGTAGGGCAGCGCGGGCACGGCCCTGAGCGATGGAGCCGAGGAGGAGGAGGGAGGCCGAAGGCGGCCCTACCCGCTCCATTTCAGCGGTGCGGAACGAGCGGAGAACGCTCTGGAAGAGCACGGCGCGGTGCTGTGGTCCACGTCGGATTTAAAGCTGAGCGCGGAGCTGAGCCCCGTTGAGCGCGGAGCCGCGTGGGGACAGACTGCGTACAGCTGTCCTTCGTGTCCCCGAAGCGCTCGGGCGCAGCTCCCGGGATGACCGCCACCGCCCTCCCACTGCAAAGCGCCGTCGGATGGCAGACAGCAGCGCAGCACAGCGCGGCTCGAGACAGGAGGAAGGCACGAGGGAGCGCCAAGAACCGGGAACCTGAGAGCGCCCGAGGAAACACATGTTTTATGGCCTATCGCTGAGTGCTTGGCTGTTCTCTAGAGAAAGATGATGACGCCTTCGAGAAAACCGAGTTTCTCCTTTTGATGATGGACTGAACCTCAGCCAGCGCTGTGAAAGCACGCCATTTGTTAGATGGTGACATTTTAAACTCGTTCCACCCAGGGAAACGGTTCAGGCTGGGGAAGAGCAAGGTTTCAGCCTTGATTAACGACGTAAAGAAACGCAGGCACGCTGCATGAAAGCAAGGGAAGAAGCTGGAAGGCTTGCAGGACCAGGCCTCCCTGCACAGTTCTGCACCTTGCTGGCAAAGCAGCACCTAAACCAGCACCAACAGCACCATCTTCTGCACCCCACCCCTACCTGCCATTCTCACCAATCCAAAGCCAGGTTGCTGGCTGCAGCTTATTATCACAGTCTGCAAGAGGGAGCCCACCCCTCTGACATTCCCCCTTTTCCAACCCAGCCTGCAGCAGTGCCAAGGGGATTGAGCCCGAGCCCTTCTTGCTGCACCACCAGGCCCACAGCAGCCTCCTTTCCATAGCACCAGGTCGTGCTGCCTCCATTAGCCGAAGCAAACCATCCTCGTGCACCTCAGCCACACAGGTATCTGCATTTCCTTCTCTGGAAATACAATTCAGACCTTAACTCTTTGGCTGATTTTTTCCCCAGTTGTGATTTTTTTTCTTCTCCTTCAAATTCAGAGCTGGTGTTATTTTACCACAGCCATCAATCAGGCAACAAGCAAGCAGGGCTTTTCTTTCTTCCTTTCTTTCTTTGTCTTTCTTTCTAATGCTTGTTATATCTCTCCTACATACTTCCTCCCTGCACAGAAATATCCCTTCAAAGCTTGATATTATTGAGCAGCTTTCAACCATGCCCAGCAGAGCCATGTATTCTCTGCATTTGTTTGGCCTTTGTTTCTAGGAATGAAATACCAGTGTCTTAACAGTGTGACTTCATTTCACTACTTCATTCCAATACTTGTTCTATTTCTATCCCACTGGGTCAAACTCACCTATTGTGAGACCTCACCGATTTCAATTACATCAGGGATTAATTTGTTCCATGGCGTTGAAGCTGTTAATACAATCCTTGCTGGCTCTAGATTAGAAAAGGCACGATGAAGACCTCCCTCGCAGGCAATGTGCTTAACAGCGGTCTTGATCTTCATTTTGTTCCTCTTCTCCCCCCTAACCACCCCCCCCCCTCCTTCCTTTGTGCCCCTTTGCCCCTCTTTTCACAACCATCTCCTTCCTTTCTAAATTGTCCTTATCAGAACTGGGTGGTCCTTCTGACTTCCACTGTTACTGGCAGAAGGTTGCCTGCCAGCAGCCGCTGCCCATGTGTGCAAGGGAGCCAAGGGTCAGCAGCTCAGGTCTGGCTGAAGCCACCCAACACCTCACAGGCTCACAGCAGCCAGGCTGCTTTATGGAAGATGGGCACGAGAAGATCTCGGCAAGAGACATGAGCAGCAGATCATCCTGCACCACCCTCCCCTTGGCATCTCATCTCCCCAAGGCGGAATGGGGAAGGACTGGTTTCAAAGAGCAACTGCAGGTCCCTCTGCACCCACCTGGATCTGCAGGGCCTCGCTTCTGCAGCTCAGAGAGTTGGTCTCAAAAGTTTAGAACCTGAAATACACATTTGTCAGGCAGCTCCATTCTGGAGATGATGTGGTCACTGCAACCCAAACCAAGGTGCCAGCCGAAGCCTTCCCCAGCATCATGCCTTCACTGCATGCCCAGGATGCTTCCTATGGTGCAACCCAGCCTGTGCCATGTAACCCACAGAGAGAAGGTGGGATCGGCTCTGGAGGATGTCCTACAGTACAACAAGCTCCACAACAATCCTGATCTGCAAAAATCACTACTTGCACAAGCCTGATCTTTCCAAAATGCTCCCCTTTAGGGGTGAAGTCTCCTGCCTTAGCTCCTCCCTGGATGGTTTTGTTGGGAAACTCCCAAGCTCTTTACCAGTTATCTCTGATGTGTGCAAGTTCAACGAGGGCAAAAGAAAACCCAAAGCAGTGCCCCACCTTCCCACCATTCCTTCCCCACAGGGTGCAATCTCTGCTTGGGAGAAGGTTTTGGTATTTGTTAATACATCACACACACCGCACTCCCAGTTCAGAACACTTGCATCAGCTTTCAGAGGACCAGGGACATCCCTGCAAATGGGTGCTGCGGGCAAGATACAGCATGGAAGCACCATCACTTCAGCAAGTGGAAGCTGCCAGCTGATGGGTGGCAACGTGCTTCAGGTATAGCAAGGGCCATGCATGAGCCATGGGCTTGTGCTACCACCATCACTCCTTGCTGCTAGCATCAGGCCACATTTTTCATGCCTGTGTCCCTTCTACCACAAACAGAGCAGCCCTCCTCATGGCATAGGTATTGCCTTGAAGAAAATGGTAACAAGGCTTTGCCAACCAGCCGCAGTCTACCTCTGACATCGCGGATCCACAAAGTCAGCAGTTAGATTTGGGGAGCTTGCCATGCTACAGCTGCCTTTGTTAACTTAACCAAAAAGCGTTTCTTTTCAGTATGGAGAAAACGCTCCTGCTGAAACAAACTGCCCTGATATGCAGGAATTAAAACTATTCAGCAATCCAAAGTGCTGCAAAGTGTAGCGTTCTATTAGCATTTCTGAGCAGCTGAAATGTGCATTCAAAAAAACAAAGCCTGGAGAAGAACATGCAAAGTCCCTGCAGTCCAAAATAAAATCACAGTGAGCCACGGAGGAAACAAAGTTTTGAAGCACACTCAGAAGCAGCAAACAACTGCTCCCAAACTACTGGAAGTGCCTTTGCACAAAGCAGAGGGAGCTCTGTAAAGCAGAGAGACAACAAGCACAGGGCTGTCCCACACCAGGGTGCTGCCAGCCTCGTGCCCAGCCAGAGGGGCTGCTGCACCCCATTTGCATGAACTGTGGGGAGCCCAGTCTGGCTGCAGGCTGCAGTGCAACCAGGCAGTCCTCCCTGCAGGGTGCTCGAGGACAAAAAGCTACACACACACCACTAAAAATACTTACAAGTGGTCTGTTTGACTTTTTAAATGTAGCCCAGTTACTGGAAAAAAAAAAAAAAAAGAAAGAAAAAAACATTCCAAATCTGAAAAACTCGGGAGCTTTTCTCTCCCCTCCTCTCTCCATCAGCAGGGACTTCCTCCTGGAGGGATGCTCCAGCCATGAACCTGTTTGGCCACAACAACAGGGAAGGAGAAGCTGCCTCAAGCCCACCACCCTGAAATGGGTCAGATCAACCTGGAAAGAGGCAGTCGGTCAGCCCTAGGAGCTGCATAAAGCACAAGCCCACGGGATCCAAAGTGATGTCTGTGTCCCTTCTGCTCAATGCCAGCCCAGCTGGGACCTCCATAAAAACAGGAGCAAAAGCACAAGACATGGAAAATCCAAGAGATGCTCAGTGCAACGCTGCTGTCAGAAAGAGACAGACGATCACTGGAGCTCCCCATAAAAGAAATAAACATTTGCAGTGGCAGCACCGCAGCAGTGACCTGGTGTTTACGCAGGTAGCTCCTTTCATCTCGGTCCCTTGACATCGTCCAAGGAACACACAGGTCCCTGCTCCCACTGCAGAAAAGCAACTCCCTCTAGGGTAAAGCGTGGCAACTGCCGAGCAGCGCACACAAGTTTAGGACAGCATTTCCAGAACTCCTTTTTCCAATGAGTTTACAAAGGCAATATAGAGATGGGAGCTGCTGTCAAAGGAGACGGTTGTTGGCCACAGCCTCATGTGAAACATGGCTTCTCCAAGTGCACACGGCTCCCATTTCTCTGCTGATTCAGCAGTGATACCTGGAAACCCTATCAAATTATCCTGTGCCACTTTTCTTCTATCGAGTTTCCTCTGGAAACCGTTTACTAAGCTCCAGCCAGTCCCACTCTTGCTTATTCTGGCAAGATAACACAGTGATCCTATGTGGGAAAGATGCCAACTGGAAAGGTTGGCATGCTCAGGTGTCCCTGCTCCATCACTCCCTGATTAGGCAGCACCCAGATGGCACTGTGTTGTAAGGAGAGGGCTGTGACCAGGAACAGGTTTAAGTTGTATAACAATACCTGGAGGCCAATCAGGATTTTCTGGAATTACGGGAGTCATCTCACTAGGAAGCTAATTAGTGTATGTGCTGTGGATAGCTCGCTTCTGCCTTGTGCCCCCAGCTTTGATTTTTTTCATGCTTGCTTTAAGGACTGCCTGTTAGAGATGCCAAATCCTTCCCATAATTTGCACCCTTCCCTCGCTACATGTAAAGTTTTCATTTTCCTGTCTTTTGGGAATGCATCCAACTGAGCATCTTCTTCACTGCTGCTGTCTCCAGCAGTCACCCTGAACGGAGATGTTTGCAAGTTCACGGCAAGGATCAAATCTGTTTTATAGAAACTACCCACAAAATGCTGGGTGAATACACAGTAGCCTCAGTGCTTACGTGTTTTCTGAATACCAGTTTGTCGTTGTTAGTTACTGAGGGGGAGAAGTCCTGTCCCTCTGGGCTGATCTCCTTCAGTGACAGCACCCAACGGGACACTCAGCTCAGGGCAGCCCCCATCTCCTCATCCCAACCAGC